TAGATGCTCATGTACTCGTTGACACCCCGATTTTGGAATAGATTGTAATGTGTTGCGGATTTATTTCTGTTTTAAAAAGGTTTTCTTAATTATAAATTGCTTTCATATATATTTTCAAAGCTTTTACTGTGTTAAGATGGTTGATTAGTGGCTTGCCTAGTTCTATGATAGGCGCCATCACGACTGTGGGTTTTGAGTAGTGGCTTGCCTAGTTCTATCGTTTCCTATCATTTCGGCAAACTTACTCTCTGACAAAAGAGGGGACTATGTATATACAGGTAAACTCGGGGTCAGTACACACCCCAAGTTCTCAGTGAATTAGACGAAGTAAAATATACAAGATAGAGATCGAATCTGAGAACTCTTTGGTTCAAGCCCGGAACGGGGTGCTTGCCACCGGGTCCGGCGAGATAACACCTCCCGAACCCGGAACGAGTTCGAAGACCTCGGAAAACATTACAAATGATTGCACACGACTAATAGAGGGCCGTGATATCCACGCTGAATCGAATATCATGGTGTAAATCTCGCTCGATGTCGGCAGCATATCAGTGATTGATGTACAAGAAGGATTTTTACTTTTTTTAGAATTGTACTAGGGGTAAATTCCCTACTATATGAAGGGGAGGTTTCTTATTTAATAGACATATTGTAACATGCATATCAAGGCAATATAAACTTATTTCTCTGCTTTCTAGCCATTGAAAGGTTTTATTCATAGTTCTCCATATACATTTGGCTTCAAATCGAGGGCCCGGTAGAGGGTAAAACCGGTGTTAAGCTAAAATATGAGCCTGGCCTTAATGGAACAATTGGTTTGATTATTGATTTCATCTTTAATTTGTTTATCTAACATTTTTGATTACTTGTATTGAATATATCCACATATCCTTAAAACCGCGTAAAATTTAATTGTTATCCGTTTTAAGGGTAAACAGTTTGGCGCCCACCTTTGGGCTAAGGATAATAGTGGTGGTTTGATACAAATCTCCATAACACACTTGGATACACTTGTTCTTTAAGGTCTCAATTTCAGGTCAGTTTAAAAATGTCAAATTCTCAACCTGCTCACTTGAACTTCAAGGCTGAGTCTGGCCATCATGCCGAAAAAAACAATCTAATGCTTAGCAATTAGGTGCCCCATGCTAATCCCAACACAGTCCCAATTGCAAATCCAATCTATGCTAACTCGCATGTGGCCATCGACACCAACCTGCCTACCGACTCTCGTTAAAAGCCGTCACGGAGGAGCTCTACCAACGGCTCAAGGAGCGCCCGAAGGCGAAGGCGCGGAGTCAGTCTACGAGTAATTTTTGAAATGTTACAGTCTCAACAGGCGGAGATAGCGCAACTACAAAATCAAAGCCGCACTCCCAGTAGAGTTGAGCCCGAACCATCCCGGGAAATCACTCGAAGAAATGAGTAGATTGCTGAAAGGCCGGGTGGAATAGAGCCCAGTGTCAATCCCGAAGTAATGAAAATGCTTGAAGCATTAACGAAATAGGTGGAGTCAGGTGAAAAGAAAATTGAGGCTAACGACAAGTAGGTGGAGACATATAATTCCCAGGTCGATCAAATCCCAGGAGCGCCCCCGACATTGGAAGGCCCGGACTCTAAAAACTTTTTCCAAAATCCTTTTCCTCCAAGCTCAGCACCAAAGCCAATCCCGAAGAGGTTTTGTATGCCCGACATTCCAAAATATAACGGGACCATGGATCCGAACGAGCATGTGCCCTCCTATACATGAGCCATCAAAGGTAACGACTTGGAAGACGACGATATCGAGTTAGTATTATTAAAGAAGTTCAGGGAAACCCTGTCAAAAGGAGCAATGATATGGTACCATAACTTACCCCTAAATTCCATTGATTCGTTCGCTATGCTCATGGATGCCTTTGTAAAAGCTCATGTCGGGGCCATCAGAGTCGAGACCAGAAAATCAGATCTTTTCAAGGTTAAGCAAAGGGGCAACGAGATGCTCAGGGAGTTCGTGTAAAGATTTCAAATAGAACGGATGGACTTACCTCCGGTTGTAGATGATTGGCTCGTTCAGGCATTCACTCAGGGACTTAACCCCCGAATCTCTTTGGCTTCACAGCAGCTGAACAAACAGGTACCAGTCAAAAATTAGAGTCGAGGACGACCAACTCGGAGCCCCTTCTGGGTCCGTTTATCCCATTAGAACCGACGACATGCCTAAGAGAATTATTGATCATGAATCAAGTCCGGTCCGAGATCGATACAAACCTTACAATGCAGATCAATGGGGAAATGGGTCCGGGCGCAACTCCATAAGGAACAAAAAGAGAAGAGATTGAGGGCCTAATAACCGAGGCCTAATGAGCAAAAATGGTTCCGACAAGCTGCTTGGGGGAAGGGAAGCTCCAAGATTGTCAAAGTATAACTTCAACATTGATGCAACAAGCATCATATCAGCCATTGGACGCATCAAGGAGACCAAGTGGCCTCGACCATTGCAATCTGACCCTACCCAGAGAGATCCTAACCTGATGTGTAAGTATCATGGCACTCATGGCTACATGACGAAGGACTGTAGACAATTGAGAAAAGAAGTTGCCCAATTGTTCAATAACGAGCATCTCCGGGAATTTTTGAGTGATCGAGCCAAAAACTACTTCAGGAACAGGTACTCCAACAAACAGACCGAACAAGAAGAACCTCAACACATCATCAAGATGATCATTAGAGGGGTCGATGTCCTACAAGGACGATGATAAAGCGTACTAAAGTACCCATTACAATGGAAAAATGCACCCGAGATTACATCCTAGAGGGAACCATTTCGTTCAGCGACGAGGATGCTGAAGGCATCGTACATCCTCATAATGATGCACTGGTGATATTTGTGCTTATCAATAAATCTCGAGTTAAACGTATGTTGACTAATCCAGGCGATTCATCCAACATCATTAGATCGAGGGTTGTAGAGCAGTTAGGGTTATAGGATCAAATAGTACCGGCTATCCGAGTGTAGAACGGATTTAACATGGCTTGCGAAACTACTAAAAAGAGAAATAACTTTGCTAGTGAATACTACCAGGACAAGTCAAGATACAAAATTCTACGTGATCGAAGGAGACATGAGGTATAACGCCTTATTCGGAAGGCCATGGGTTCATAACATGAGGGTAGTACCCTCAACACTGCATCAGGCACTAAAGCTCCCTACGCCAGAGGAGCCAAGACAGTCTATGGAGAGCAGTCGGCCGCAAGAGAAATGTTCGAAATCGATGAGGTGATCCCAGTGCCTGTGATCTCAACATCAAAGAATACAGAGCCAACCAGGAAGGAAGAAATTAAATAGCAATCACCGATACCGACCCTAACTGAACGAGAAGACCAGGGAGTAGGCGAAGAGAATGATTATTGAGTTCCTAGGTTGTTCATTGCTCCCGATGATTCCGATGCCACCAAGTCGATGATCGAGGAGCTGGAGCAAGTCATATTGATCAAACACATGCCTGATCAGAAGGTATAAAAGGGCACGAGGTTAACTCCCGTGCTCAGTTAAAAACTCATTGAATTTCTTATAGCTAACATAGATTGTTTTGCTTGGTCCCATCTTAATATGACAGGGATTCCGCCGGAGGTGACCACTCATAAGCTGAGTTTGGACTCGAAGTTCCATCCAGTTAAGCAGAAAAGGAGACCGCAGTCCGAGGTCAAGCACACATTCATCAAGCACAAGGTATCTAAACTCCTTAAAATAGGATCCATTCGAGAAGTTAAGTACCCGAACTGGTTGGCCAATGTAGTAGTAATACCTAAGAAAGGAAATAAACTAAGAATGTGTGTGGATTATAAATATCTGAACAAGGCATGCCCTAAGGATTTTTTTTCCTTTGCCTAACATCGATCAGATGATCGTCGCGATAGCCGGGCACGAGATACTCAAATTTCTCGATGCCTATTTCTGGTACAACCAAATTCGGATGGACCCGGGCGACCAAGCAAAAACTTCCTTTATCACTAAATTCGGCACCTATTGTTATAACGTAATGCCATTCGGATTAAAATACACTAGTACCACCTATCAACACCTAGTAAACCGGATGTTTGAAGAACAAATAAGAAAATTAATGAAAGTTTATATTGATGACATGTTAGTCATATGAGCAAAGGACCATTTGAAACATTTGCAGGAAACCTTCGGTATATTGAAGAGATATAATATGAAGCTGAACCCGGAGAAATGCGCATTTGGGGTTGGATCTGGGAAGTTCCTCAGGTTCATGGTATCTAATCAGGAAATAGAGATCAATCCTGACAAAATTAGAGCCATAGAAGACATCACCGTAGTGGACAGTGTCAAGGTCTTTCAGAGGCTGACCGAGCGTATAGCCGCCCTGGGTCGGTTCATATTTAGCTCCTCGGACAAAAGCCATCGGTTCTTCTCCCTGTTGAAGAAGAAGAATAATTTTTCCTGGATCTCGGAATTCCAACAGGCTTTGGAAGAACTCAAATGGTACCTCTCAAGTCCCCTCCTGCTCCACACTCTGAAGCGGATGAACGGCTGTACCTTTACTTGGCGGTTTCTGAGGTAGAGATAAGTGGAGTCCTAGTCCGGGAAGAGGAAGGTACACAATACCTTATATACTATGTCAGTAGAACTCTGGGCAAGGCCGAAACAAGGTACCTTACCTGAAAAAATTGGCGCTCGCTTAGCTATGCGCCTCCAGAAAGTTAAAACCGTACTTTCAATATCACACTACAACAAAAATAGACTTTAGCGGCAATATGAAAATTGCCACTAACAGATTCTTTAAGCTGAAATATTAGCGGCACATGACTAATTGCCGGTAAAAGATATTTTTTAGTGGCAATAAAAAGAAAATTACCACTAAAAATCACTCATTGAAATCAAGTTTTTATTATTTTAACTTTCCCTCCATACAAGTAAAATAAAATCTTTCCCTCCAATATTTTTGGACCAGAATTAGCTATTTCCTCCAATTAGAAAATAATACGAATTCTACCAAAATAAGAAAAAGATAACATTACGAAAACCTATCACTGGACGCTGGTTAACAAAATTGCCGCGGCTTGCCACAATCTCCGGCCTGCCACAATCTCCGGCCTGCCACAACTCTGTGTATCTTCTTCCCAAATCCCACGTAACTTTTTCTTCTTTCCCAGGTAAATTCCTTTCTTACCCAGCAGGTTGCTAGAAATCAATTTACAATAAATTTTTTAACCAAAAAATCAATCGCCAACTGCTCTTCAAAGATGTTTTTTCCTCTCTTCCCAAATTTCCTACATTAGTGGTTCACTTTTTACAATGAGAAACACCACATATGGTGGTTGCAGGCAAGTTACGGTGAAAGGTGTAACTGATCCAGAAAAGTTCGGCGCTCTTGGAGTATTCCGTGACTGCCTGCCTATCTTTTTGTCTTCTTTTTTTGCACAATAATTGCAATTAATCATTGTTGCTCAAGTTCCTCCCCTCATACGAATTTACCAATTTATGCTTTATTATTAGTGTATTAGAATTAACTTTTTCATCCGTATTCAACTTCTCTTTTCTTGTAGGTTTCAAGATTGCTGCAAAAATGATTCTTCTCCTTCACTTTTTTCTTTTATCGGCAAATATTCTGCTCACCAGGTATAATTTATGGTTCTTGATATCCACTTATGGCGTTTTGGAATTTGTAAAAGTATAGCTTTTTTTTGTGTTTGCTAAATCGTTTGTGATATCTGGCTGTTGTTAGATTGATAGTCGATTGATTGAATTGATTCCTCCGATGTTCCTCTATTGTTTTATGATCTAGGGAATTTATCGCCGGGAATATATCACAACAATGTATACTTAGAATTTATTTTTTTGAAAATTTAGTTGAGATAGAATATATAATTTTTAAAGTATATATGCACAAGCAAGTTTGAGTACTATCTCTGTTGGGTACAGAATTTTTATCCAAAAAAAGAAAACACAGAGGAAACAATATTATCTAAGCTTATTCTTCATTGAACTATCCACTCAAAACTCCAAAAACTATCAATAAAGGCAAACATGTGAGTTACAATTTGAGTATGAAGAGATATAGTTGTTCAAAAAATATGTCAATAGAGGCAAACAACTAAGTTACTTATTTTATTAGATGGAAAAGTTCACCATTGATTGATGTTGTTTTACATTCCAAATTGGGGTTCTTAGAATTGTATTGTGATTGAAGTTGTTTCACACATGAAAGGTGTATGATGAGTTCATAATTTGTACTTTTTATGTCAATGTTTCATATAAGAAAATCTAATTTCCTCACTTCTGGTGGTAAATTGCATATCCCCTATCACTGTTGTCAGAGTATCTGAAACTTCTATTGCGACTGCAGTTCCAACTGCCTTTGTGTACCACAGTATATAGTTGCAAATCTGATGTATCTAAGTGAGCTGTCAATGCTACTGATAAACTTTCTACTTGCGCATATTTCTGTTTACTTTGATGTATCACAGCTTTTGGAATAGAAGGATTTTGTTGAACAAGGCTGTAAGTTGTAATGCTAAAACTTATGTATATAGCATCTGAATACTTAGTTGGTCTCTTTTGATCCTTGCATTATTAGAATGGTTGTTGGTGTAAAGGGATTATAGTTAAGAGGCCATGGTGCCGTGAAATAAAACTGTTGTCAGTGGTTAGTGAATGTGCAAAGTTCAACAGAACAAATTAATTAATATACATGAACAGTAAACTAAAAAATATTTCAAGTGAAAGAACAAATTAATTATATTATCCAAAGTGAAACAGAACTATTAATTGATAGATGAAGATTTCATTTATTTCATGTCCAAATTTCACCTGTAACATTCTCACATCTTGAGTACCTACCATTTAGAGAATAGTGAGCTTAATATGATCCATCTATAGCTTAATTGATGCATTGATGTAACAAATCTTCAACATCTCCATATTTTTTGAAACACTTACCTGTTGGCATATATTTTGTATTGAAACATATACTGTTTTTGCTCTCTGTTGTTTTATCATGATATTGTTATTTAACAGATTTTAAAGCATCTCTCAAATGCTTAACCATATAAGTTTTTGTCATTTGATGACCTTCGAGTTTTCCATTCTAGGTAATTCAGAGCCAAGAAAGCTTCATGGGCCTACTATACTAAAAGATATTTGGAAACTTCCTCCGGGGAAGATAGTTGATGTGCCGTTTAATAATCGTAACCAAGCTGTTCGAGAAAAAGGTCGAAAGCTTGCTAGTTTTCTAGGAATTATTGCGACAACTCCAGAACTAACATCAAGGATACCTAGTGTTGCTGAAAACACTTCACTTTCTCACGGTACTACTCATCTTTATCCTTTAGCGCTCTACTTTTTGAGTTTTTCTTACTGTAGATCATTAAGAAATCTTTTTTTTATCTTAGTATATCTTCGCTGGAATATATTCTTCTTCCTTTACTAGATAGGATCCATAGTTTGTCCGCCAAGTTCGAGGAAACAGATGAGCTGATTTGGTTATTTAAATCTTACTGAAAACTCTAAACCATGAGTTATAAAGGAAGATATTTCCAAATGTTCCAATAACTATGGAGTCCTTTACTAAAAATTCACCCGCACATAATATGACTAAAAGGATATTATACCCTGTAAATGATGTGGCAAAATGTATAATCTTTGGCAGATATCCTTGGATCTAAGCTAGGTAAATTTCCCAAAAGCTTACCTTAGGTGGCTGGTAGGAAGACACAAATGACTTTGCACAAGAATTGGTTTAGAATCCTCGCAAACATTGTAGGGATAAAGGATAGGGAGAAAATCACAGATGTTTTCATGGTGCAATTGAGCCTAGTCATATGTTGAAGTCCTAAAGTGTAACAGACCTTGTTTATTGGTGTAACTTAAAACAATTTAAGATGCCTTAAAGATATGGTTAACTTCTTAAATTTTGGAATAAAGACTCATTTGTAACTGGACTACATGGTGTGGTCTCAATTAATAACATTTATTAGTTCAATTAAAAGTAGAAGAATGACATACATTTGGATTACACTTGTTCCCTGAACATAGAGCACTAGCAGTTTCACTTACAGAAGATATGATCTCCGACTTTTTTTTCACTGTGGATCAAAATAGTCCATTGCAGAAGCAACAAATGGATACAAGTGAAGAGAAGAAAGAATTTTAGATCTTATGGCGTATAAGATGAAAAGTTGTGGTTGATCTATTCTATAAGCTACATCAATGTGATGGAAAAATTTGTCAAATGTAAATTAGCTTTTTCTTCCGAAAGTAGGACTTCAGATAGCATAGTTGCAGACCTGCAACTGCCAAGCATATACCAAGGGACATTATGCTTAACCATGCCACTCTAGCATTAGTTTCCTCATTATCTTCCCTCATTTCTGCTTTCTTGTGCGTGACATACTAGGAAAAACCATGTTACTTATGAGGTAGTGGCCAAAAGAATGATAGAAGCATTACTTGCACCAAGGGTTATTGAAAAAGTTAAAAAATAAATAAATAAAATCAATTAGCTTTACCATAATTTATTTTGTCTCAGACCTAATGATTTATAATACACTTCTCTATTAAGTCTTCATAAATCAAAACTATGATGACAACATCAACTATGCTCACTACAAAGAACAAAGTCAGCACCAACTATGTTCCCTACATCAGTTACCCTTGACTTTTTTGAAACGGTCATCCATTACTTGTTGCTCTCTGAATTAAGTAAAAAGATTTCATCTATTCATTTGTTAAATATTACTTACATATCTTTCAAACTTATTATATCTCTTTCCTTCATAAAATTGCAGCAGCTCAATCATATAACTTTGGTAATTCACTATAAATGGAACAGGGAAATTTTGAAAGATTGAGCTGGTTTTGAGACCAAAAAATGAACTGTTGTTCTACTGTTAAAAAAACTTTAGCTGGGGCCAGTGTTTTGACATCACCAAAAATGAATTTTATAGAAGAACTACAACTTCTTCTTAAGTTAAATCCCGCCAAAGATTGCATCAAGTTTATATATTTTTGCTGTCTACAATGGTGTGATCATCTTTGTCTTGCATTCCTCTTATATTTAGTGATGGCTAGTAGAAGAAAAAGATTTGCATGCTTATGCGTACATCTACCGTGTCATATATTTCATCTATTGACATAGTTATTTTATAATTTCAGGTCATACAGTCTGATGATCGATAATTTAGTTGGTCGAAGATTTCAACATGATGAAGAGTTGCAAAAATTATTTGAAGACTATTATTCGTTGGGATTAGTCATATAATGACATTAGCTATTTACTTCAAACAATATAAGTTTGTTTTTAAGTTATTGTGATATTAATATTTTGGATTAGTACTTTCTTTTGTTTGTTAAGATTTAATGAGATACATTATGTTTTTATGAATTAATATTAATATGTTATGTTATTTGGAACCTTTTTGAACGCAATGTAGTAGCTATTATTAATGGTGGCTAAACTATTACCGTTATAGCTTGTGACTTTAGTGCCAATTTAACAGGATATATTGGTTATAAAAATGAGCGATAAAAGGGCAAATTAAGATGTTTCCACGGGAGATATTGTAGCCATTATAACTGCTGCTAAAGATGACTTTTAGCGGCAATTTAATTGAATTTACTAGACATTAAAATGGATGCTAAAAGGGCATACTAATACGTTTTCAGAAGGGATATTATAGCCATTCTTATTGCCACAAAATAATTACCGCTAAAGATATGGACTTTTAGCGACATTTTTTTTTGAATTTAGCGGCAATAAAAATGGACATTAAAAGAGCATTAGTAGCCACTTTAGCTTGGATTTAGCAGCCATCATAATTGTCGCAAACAATTGTCGTTAAATCAAATGATATTTAGCAGCAATAAGTAACACCTTTCACCAGCTTTTGTGATAAATGCCGCTAAAGGATTTACCGACCCTGGCTTCAGCGGCTAAACATCAATAGCCGGTAAATGATACAACGACTATTGTTATTGCCACTATATGTGTCGTGACCTCTTACCCACTAAGAAACATCATGCACAAGCCCCAGCTCTTGGGCCGGTTGGCCAAATAGGCCGTCGAAATCAGCGGGTACGATATCGAGTATCGGCCCTGAACCGCTATAAAATCTCAATTTTTGACCAACTTTGTGGCCGACTTTACATCGGCCTTAGTGCCCGAAGTCGAAAGAGAATTATTGTTAGCCTCGAGGACAACCTCGAGAATTTGGACCCTTTTAATGGATGGTGCCTCGAATGCAAAAGGGTCTGGGCTCAGCATCGTGCTGAAGCCTCCTATGGGGAACGTAGTTAGGCAATCTATTAGAACTATGAAATTGAATAACAATGAGGCCGAGTATGAAGGCGTGATTGCACGTCTCAAATTGGCTAAAGCCTTGGAGCCGAGATGGTCGAAGAATGTGATTCCCTCATCGTGGTAAATCAAGTCAATGGGACATTCGAAGTAAAGGAGGAACGAATGTGAAGGTATTTAGACAAGTTACAGGTAATGCTGCATCAATTCAAGGTTTTGTACCTTACAGCACGTACCCCGTGATCAAAATAGTGAGGCTGATTCTCTGGCTAACTTGGGGTTATCGGTTGATGATGATGAATTTAGTTCGAGAACAGTCGTACAACTCATGAAGTCAGTGATAGAAGAGGGTCATGCTGAAGTAAACTCAATGAGTTTGACCTGGGATTGGAGGAACAAGTACATAGACTACTTGAAAACTGGAAAGCTGCCCTCAGATCCTAAAGAATCGAGAGCTACCAAGGCTACCAGATTTAGCTTGGTCGAAGGGACACTGTTTAGAAGAGCGTTCAACGGCCCGTTAGCCAGATGCTTGGGACTGGGAGATACCGAGTACGCCGTGAGAGAAGTTTACGAAGGAACTTGTGAAAACCATTTGAGGGTAGAATCTTTGGTTCGGAAATTAATCAAGGTAGGATATTATTGGACCCAAATGGAGAAGGATGCGAAGGACTTCGTACAAAAATGCGACAGCTGCCAGAGACACCCACCAATGATCTATCAACCAGGAGAGCTACTACACACGGTCATGTCCCCATGGCCGTTTATGAAATGGGGGACGGACATCGCCGGTCCCCTGCCATGGGCACCCGGTAAAGCTTAATTCATACTATTCATGACTGACTATTTTTCCGAATGGGTCGAGGCTCAAGCATTTGAAAAGGTTCGGGAGAAAGAAGTCATTTACTTAATCTAGGACCACATAATATGTCGATTTGGGATACCACCCGAAGTCGTGTGCAATAATGGGAGGCAATTCATTGGTAGAAAGGTAAACAAATTCTTCGAAGATCACAAGATTAAAAAGATTACTATCAACACCTTACCACCATAGTGGGAACGGACATGGAGAGTCAACAAATAAGACTATACTTCAAAACCTAAAAAAGAGGTTGACCGATGCCAAAGGAAAATGGAAGGAAATCTTGCCCAAAGTCCTATAGGCATATCGTATAAACTCGAAGTCTAGTACCGGGGCCACTCCATTTCGTTGGTCTACGGGGCCGAAGCCTTAATACCAGTCAAGGTGGGAGAACTGAGCCTCAGGTTCTAATATGCAACCGAAGAGTTAAATGTCAAGGCCATGATTACGAGCCTGGAACTATTGGATGAAAGACGTGAGGCACCTTTAGTTCGGTTGGCCACCCAAAAACAGCGGATAGAGAGATACTATAACCGAAGATCCAACCTCCGACATTTCAATATCGGGGACTTGGTGTGTTACACACCTGGAACCCGAATGAGGGTAAGCTGGGATCGAATTGGGAAGGATTGTATCGTGTCATCGAAATTATGATAAAAGCTCATACAAACTCGAAGTGGGAAACGATGTTCAACTACCGAATAATTGGAACGTTATGCACTTAAAGCGATACTACTGCTAAGGTATGATCTTGAATACTCTTTAATCATGTTATAAACTGGACTAGCACTTGCATGCAACGGCCAAGTATGGATGTTGCTATTAGGTCTGAAAGCATGTGTTACACTCTTTTTCCCTTGAACCGGCTTTGTCCCAAAATGGATTTTTTGGCAAGGTTTTGAATGAGGCAACAGTAAAACATGCAAACTTATATTCGAAGGTCGGTCTCAAACCAGATTCAATGGGCGTTCATTTAACATCAACAGTATCCGAGCCCTCTCAAACTCGACCTCGAATATTGGCAGCCATTACCTTCGGATTAAGGATTTTAGCAAGGAAAAAAGAAAACCATGTATTCTAGGAGCTAAGGCTCGGTGATTAGGATTCATTGTAAGGGCCAAACATCTATATGAACCGTGCCCACTTAGTCCACTTTAGCCATGATACAAGCTTTTACGCATTTTCGATCATGTACTTTACACATAGAAATAAAAGGAAGTTCCACCTTGCTAATACACATTTTCTTGCCTCTTAAATTTCGAATCCTAAGAGCCTATGGGCTACCCCCACTTGGGGACTATCGAGCCTAAGGGTTACCCCTATTGGGGAATTATCGAGCCCAAGAGCTACCCTACTCTGGGACTATCGCCCGAAAAATGTTCGGACGATCCGGGCTACTAAATCCCGGAGGCACAAAATCTATTAGGCGGTGCCTAAATACAAAAAGCTAGGGTCGCCCTAAAAATGGCTCGGAGACGTTCGAAGCTCATAATCAGAAATTAAGGCCTTTATAAAAATTTGAAACCTGCTAAAAGGATACCCTCAGCAAAAGCATCATCTAAAAATCACTTAAGCAACTTGAAAAAACTTCTGGTCACACCTAGTTTTCAAAGCCTCGAGCAAAAAAAGGTGTATCAAAGTCAGGCTCCGTTCGGACTTCTAAAAATTGGACGCCCTATAACAATATTTGATTCTATGTTAAGGCTTTAGAAACTTTGCAAAATTNATATATATATATATTCCGGAATATACTTACAAAGTCCCAATAAAAATGGCCTCAAAATAAACAAAAAATGTACATAAGACCAAATACTAAAAAAGTAAAAGGCATCTACGTCTAATATTCACCAGGGCCCGACTCTTCGCCAGAGCCGTCGGAACATTCTGATCCCCCGAACCCTCAGAAACCTAAGAGCCTTCGGTATCTTCGGGCTCGTAAAGCTTCTTCACCTCAGACTTGAATTTTTTGGCTTCTTCGATCTCGGTCAACACGTCAAACCCTCGAGCTTGGATCTCCTCGAGGGTCTCTCTTCGAGATAACTGCTTCATATATTAGGCCTTTGCCTTCAGGCAGACTTCAGCTGCCTCCACATTGGCCTTGTATTGGGCCACCATTTCATCGTCATCGGTTTATGTTGTATATAACTTGGACTTCACTGCCTCTTATTCTCTATCGAGGGCGTCCCACTCAGTGACAGCTGAGCTTAGCTGTGCTCGAAGGTCGTCATTCAACTAAGACCACTTGTCAGCTTTCTCCTTTGCCACCCGGAGTTGGACCTCTACTGATGCCAGCTTCGCCTTGGCGGTTTCCTTCTTCGAAGCCAGCCGGTCCATTTTTCTTTTCCTTCCATCGACGATGGCTTGGACCTCATTCATCTCAGCTTGGAGTTGGTCGATCAGGTCGATCTTCTATTGGACCTGTGAGGTTTTGTTGTTAGTCACCACGAATAGCTCCTCGTTTTTAACTTCAAAGAACTTTACCTTTCAACTAGGTCGGCATGTTCCTGCCTCAGGGTTGAAGCTTCATTCTGAGCCCTGTCCAGCTCGGCCAGAAGGTCCTTGATGACCTCGTCCTATTGCTCACTTAGGAGCTTGAACATATCCTTTTTCCGGGCATGCTCCTTGAGGTTGAACTCAAGTTGGCTGGTTTCCAAGAGGTACCGAAGGAAGCTCTCGTGGTGAAGAACTGGCACCTGTAAAGAAAGGGAACTAAGTAAGAAACATTAAAGGGAACTTTAAGTGATTAATAAGGAGAGTTTGAAGGTGTTAGAACCTTACCCAGTTCAATGCATGTTGTGCCTCATTGAAGAGACTTGACGTGCCCACCTCATTTATCTTTGTCTGGTCCTCCTCAGTTTCCAGACATCGGAGGTAGCTGGCTACGCCAACTAGAGCGGATATGATTCGGGCATCCTCTAGGACTGTGAGAACAATCGTCCTCTTACGCTCGGGGTACGCGCTTGGCGCAGGGAATTGCTTTACTAATCTTAGGCTTGTGCCCGTCCCGTCAGCTCCTGAAGGCACGTCCTTTTTTGGTATCTCTAGATGGCCCAGCCCGGAAAAATCTTCAAATATGGGCATATCCATGCCTTCGAAGAAGGAGTGGAAAGGGTCTTCTGCACCTCGTGCTCCTTCACTTGATTTTTTTTGCCCACTTGGGCATCTTCAAACATGGACTCGGTGTAAGAGGGTGTCTCCATGATGTTTATCACATCTGTCACTTCTT